AAAGAAAGAAAGAAAGAAAGAAAGAAAGAAAGAAAGAAAGAAAGAAAAACTTTTTTATTGGTTTGTGGAAAAAAACAAAAACAAATCCGCCTCGGAGTGTTTGAGATCTTCTCAGGCAATAAACTATAGCATTATGCTGATTGGCTCGTAGTAAGGGGCGGACTGTCATTTTTAATTTTGATTGGCTGTTTTTCTTTGATTGGCTGTTTTCTCTCACGGAACCCCAATTGTCTCTTTGTGCTGGAGGCGGGGCCAGGCTCTCAGAGACGCCCCTCCACTTCCAGCACGTCTGCCTGGAGAAGGGGGTTCCTTATGGAGAGTTCTGAGCCTTCACCTCCTTGGGGACCCTTGTGGTGGTGAGGAAGAACCCCTGCCCACGATCCACCTCCGGGAATGATGGGCTGAGGCGTAGTCCTCCCTCCCTGCGCCGGAGTACCCCCTCTCTACGAACCCCTCCCCCTACAAACAGTGCCACGGTGTAGAGGTCAGCTCCTGACATCTCCCACTCAAGGTCTTGTTTGTGACTTGGGACAGCACTGAAGCACTGATAACCTCCTCCGCCGAGTGAGGGAAGACTGTGGCGTACCTTATCACTGGGTGGACCCTGTCCCCACAGGAGGATGACTCGGGAGGAGGCTGGGAGGCTACCCCAAGTACTGGCACGGGTCGGGGCCTCCCATGGTATCACCGACCTGGCCTGCAAGCTCCGCTTCTATGACGACTGGGCTCCGGAGTATGACCAGGTAAAAGAAAGCACGTGGGTCCTCGATTTTTGTGGCTCAGACTGTGTTTTTATGAGCAAAGTGAGAATAGTACCCATGCATCTCAGGGAAGCTGAGTGCTAAAAAGAAACCTGGGAGACGTGCTCCTTAGCGACCTGCCCCCTACTGACCTGTAAGCACTCCTCTAACTCTGGATTAGACCTATTTGAGCCAAGAATGATCCACTTTAATAAATCCGGCAACCCAGACAGGGAAATTGCCTGCAGGGGGCGCGATTGAGACATCACTCGGTATAGACAGACCAGCTAAGAGCTGCCACAGGCAGTAGCCAGCCAGCTTGATCCCCACTAGTGTTGGGTACCTTGACAGTAAGACACCTCAAGCCTGGGTCTTTTGTTACTGGGGTCCTAGAAGGATCCAAACTCTCACACACACCAGCTCAAACTGGCAGATCTTGAGGACCCCACAAAGGGAGTCGTCCAAACACTATGTTTGGGCTAAGTGCTATCTCCTCAGGATGTGGCTGCTTTGAAGTACCGAGCCCCGCGCCTTGCTGTGGATTGTCTCAGTCGAGCCCTTCGGGACCCACCCCATGATGCCCTGATCCTGGATGTGGCCTGTGGCACTGGCCTGGTAGCTGTGGAGGTAAGATCTGATAGGACGCCCTTCAGCACCCAGGGCCTCCAACAGGCTCAATCAACCCTCAGATAGTGAATTCTAGGAAGGGGCTCTACCACTGAGCCAAGCCCCCAGCCCCTCCCTGGGGGATTGTTGGTAAGTCCTCTACCAACGAGCCACCCTTCAGCCCTTTAGTTTGCTTTTTATTTAAAGGCATGGTCTATCTCAAGGCTGGCCTTGAACTCACTCTATCACCCAGGCAAGCTTTGACCTTGGGATTCTTCTGCCTCAGCCTACAGCGTAGCTAAGAAGACAGGCCTAAGCCACCACACCTAGCTCCCGACTGCTCAAATTCCCTACCAATTCTAGACCAGGAACTCATCCTCTGCCTCAGGCTCACTGACCCCAAGATCCAAGGAAGGATCCAGCTGAGCTACAGCAGGGGTGAGCCATGACTGATCCCACCTTCTCTCCCAGCTGCAGGCTCGGAGCTTCCTCCAGGTGCAGGGGATGGATGGAAGTCCAGAAATGCTGAAGCAGGCGCAGGCACGTGGCCTGTACCACCACCTTAGCCTTTGCACCCTGGGCCAGGAGCCGCTGCCCAACCCTGAAGGTACTTCCCGGTCCACTCCACCCTCCCAAGAATAGCATCCCCTCCTGTCCAGTATCTTCACTCTGGAATCCTGTGTGAGCCCTATTGCTGTGCCCTCTCTTCCAATCTAGAGTCTAATGTCACCTCACCTCATTCACAAGGTTGGGGTCCTACTGCACCCTATATTGGACAACTTTATTTGTTTTCTGAGAGAAGGTGTCTCTGTGTAGCTGTGGCTGTCCTAGAACTTGCTCTGTAGACCAGGCTGGCCTCGAACTCAGAGGTCCACCTGCCTCCGCCTCCCAGGGGCTGAGGTCAAAGGCTCGCACTACCACCACCTGGCTATGACATTTTGTGTTAGTTACTCTTCTTATTGCTGTGGCAAAACACCAGACAAAAACGTCATAATCATGAGCCCCACTCATCCCCAGGAAGCTACCGGCAGTTGCTGGGGCAGGGAGGGTCATTTTTTTCAGTGATGTAGCCACAGGTAAGTAGCCCATGCCCCAGTACACCCCCCCCCACCAAGCTCATGCAGGCCACCTCCAGTTTGTCACTCAGGGGGTCACAAGCAAAACAAGACCTGAAAGTAGCAAGAGGAACCAGGAGATAGTGGTGCCTACCTTTAGTGCCAGCACTTGAGAGACAGAGGCTGGTGGATCTCCATGAGTTCGAGGCCAGCCTAGACTACAGAGCTAGTTCTAGAGATAGCCAGGGCTACACAGACAAAACTGGCCTTGAAAAAAACAGAAAGAAAGAAAGAAAGAAAGAAAGAAAGAAAGAAAGAAAGAAAGAAAGAATTTAGCAGAAGCTAGAGGATCCAGGGTGGAGTGGGAAGTGGAAAGGACCACACACTATATTCATTCAGCATCTTAAGGGAGTTGGAAAAATGGCTCCCTGGGGAAAAGCACATGCTATTCTTACAGAGGACCTGAGTTTGGATCTCAGCACCCAAATCAGGTGATTCACAACTCCCTGTAACTCCAATCCCAGGGAGATAGGATGCCTTTGGTCTCTGTGGCATCTCTACCCACAGAGAGACACACGTGCATACACTGGGCTGGGGAGGTGATCCAGGAGTTAAAATCCCCTTCTGCGCTTATAGAGAACTCAAGCTCTGATTCCAGCACCTTCTGAGCAGGCAACTTCAAGGGATCCAGTGCCCTCTTCTGGATCCCAAGGGCATTACAGGCATGCACACGTATCCATACATATATACACATGCACACATAATTAAAAATAAAGTGAACTGGAGATAGCTCAACAGTTAAGAACACTTGGTGACTTTGCAGAGGACCTGGGTTCACTTCCCAGCACCCACATAGCGGCTCACAACCTTCTGTAACTCCAATTCTAAGGGTTGTCTGGTGCCCTCTTTTGGCCTCCTTGGGTATTGCATGCAGGTGATGTGCAAACACACATGGAGACAAAAATACACAAAATAAAAAGTAAATTAAAATGAATTAACTAAAAATAAAATCATTTAAAAGTGACTTACGGGACAAAGGGTTTATTACAGTTCACAATTTGAAGGTACAATCTATCCTGGTGGGGTTGTCCTGGCAGCCGAAGTAGCAGAGGTAGGCGAGAGAAAAATGCTAGTATTCAACTAGCTTTCTCCTTTTTCTTTAGTCTGGGATCCCAGCCATGAGATGGTGCCATCCACCATCAGGGCAAGTCTTCCTTCCTAAATGAGCCCAGTCTAGAAACTCCCTTACAGACAAGCTCAGAGATTTGTCTCCCAGATCCTGTGAGGTTAACAAACAATAGTAACCATTACACATCTCCACCCCGCCCCACACGCAGGGACTTTTGATGCGGTGATCATTGTGGGTGCCCTCAGTGAGGGACAGGTGCCCTGCAGTGCCATACCTGAGCTCTTAAGAGTCGCCAAGCCGGGTGAGTCACAACCCACCCCGCCCCTCAGGCACCCTTTCCCCTCTCCACATCACTCATGCTGAAGAAGGGCGGGGCATTGCATAGGGGTACCCACCCCAGACCAGTGTCCCAGTTCACCATCTGCCACTTCAGTGCTCCGCCCTGGCTGGTCAGCTCAGCTGCTAGCCATGGCAACCGGGAGCATCTCCACCCTTCTGCCCTTTGTCCCCTTTCTTGTAACAAATGGCTTTGTCCCGAGGATCCCTTCCCCATCAGACTACAGTGACAGTTGGGTACAGTCCTGTCCGTGAGGCCTTTGCTTCAGCCCTGGTACCGGAAAGAGGTCAGCTGAGCTCCATTTTCCAGTCTTCTTATTGACTTGGGGACCGCCCTTCCTTAAATATTTTTGATAGTTCTCTTTTCCTGACATAGGTCAAGGTCTGATGACGATGGGATCAGCGCGTAGATCAACTCCACACGCTGAAGGGTGGAGCAGGCTAGGGCTTTCCTTTTCCTATGGTGCTGAAATGGAACTCAGAACCTCAGGCAGGCTATGTAGACCCAAACCACTCACTCTGCACTTCTAGGAAGAAGCTCGTTCTGAACCACGCTCCCACCCCCCACTGAGATTCTACACAGGCGCTCTACCACTGAGCCACGTCCCTAGCCCCTCCCTGGGGGATTCTAGGCAGGGGCTCTACCACTGAGCCACACCCCCAGCCCCTCACTGGGGGATTCTAGGCAGGGGCTCTACCACTGA